TTCGGCTTGGGCGGAAACCGCTCAAGCCTCTTATAGAGCTAACAGGCCAATCGTTAGCTGCCACGTGGGAATAATTTAGAACTAGCCAATAGCGGGACACAAATTTGCATGCGGGTGGCGGGAACTCCTTAGCACCGTGCATTTCTCTTGCAACTTGAGCAATGCACTCTGCAAAGGAAGCTGCAAATAGGCGGGAAACTCTTCCTTGCACCGGGGTTCTCCTCTGCAGCAGAAAACTCTACCGTGCAACAAAGCTGTAATTTGGTGGGGATAATTCTAGTGCCGAAGCGCACACAAAATCATACCTTTGGGTTATGACAGACCCAAACAGCAGAGTCCAGCCTGGATCCCAAAGCTCCCGAAAAGCTGGGTGCTGGTTTTCTTCTCAGGGAACTGTTGCCACAGCTCCAATTCCTTCTTCAGCTTGGCATCGCTTCCAAACATATGCTACTTTCAATGCACTTGTGGGTTAATTACTTTCTATTCGCTCAGGAGCACCAGACCACATATGCCCATTTGTTCTCATAGGGCTCTGGCCAAGTGAGAGGCCATGCACACTGATTATCCATGTAGGGCCTACTGAGATTGGTTCGTTGTTGCTGGTTTTCTTACAAAACTGGTTGTGCCAGCCTGTTAGGGGTGGGAGTCTCACAACGACTAGGGATGCTCATTGGCATGGAATTCTAGGCTTGCTGTTGAGTTGCATCACCCTAGCCATTCCCAGTTCACTCTCTCTTTCAGCATCCGCTCTCTGTCCCTGTGTGGCACAGGATACTGGGCAAGATGGGTATATGCCAATCTGACCCAGTAAATGGCAATTCTTAAGTTCTTTAAAAAGGTGACAACGTTTTAACAAAGGGAGGAAATTAAAACCATTTCAGATTGATCCAGTGATTTCCCTTTGGGACTGGCTCAGTGCATGAGCTGTGCTAAAGCTTCCTGTGGCCAGACCTTTTAGCATCTGGATGGGATGGAGGTAGTTGTTGCCAACAGTCTGCAGATGCAAAATGAAAGTGAACCACCCCCACCGAGAGAGACTGCCGACTGCTCTAGAGCAGACGAGAACCCGGGGACAAATGCCAGGCAAGACTAAATGAAAGCAGTTATGAGAGACGTGGACCTGACCCCCCAACCACAAAGAAGCCTGATGGGACCAAGAAAGTTGTAAGCAGCTGTGCCAATGGAAAGATGCCAAGTCAAAGGAGACCTCATGTACATTTGTGGTTAGGTTAGTCTTCCTCAGCAAACCGTCCCTCCTTTGGCACTGAAAAGTGAGTCAGAGTGCAGCTAGAGACCCAAACCAAATGGCAGGACAGCCGGCTAGCAAGAGAAGATGCCTGAGAATTAACAGAAAAAATGCCCTTAGAAGAACCATCATTGAACTGTAACGTTCCAAGATTAATACACAGGCAAGAATCTTGGTTGATAAACTCCCAGAAAATGGGAGCCCTTCCATATTCCAGACCAACTGGAACAACTGAAAAGGGGACTGGCTTCAAGGACTCTGTGTCTGGTTTTATGTTGAGTAGCGTATATGCTTGGACAGGACATAAGCAGTTTGGGCGGAGCTGTAAAAATTCCTGTGCAGTGGAGATATGGCTAGTAAAACTCATGGTTATGCACTTCACTTATGGGTTTCCCCAGCTCTTAGATTTAAGGAGTTCCCAGACAGCTTGGCCTTAGTGAACTGTGGTGAACTGATGTCCTATTTGTGGTACCTGGAATACCGTGGAATATGTCTGCATCAAACTGGGGACTCCATTTGGTTTTACGACTTCCATTCTTCGACTCTATACTCCATTTGGAGTTAGGACACTCATTTTGGGTAAAGGGCTGAACATATCTAACCTTGTCCTGGGTTGGGTGGATATGCTGAATCCCAGCTAGTGCCATGCTTGGGAGAGGTGTGGGACACAAAGTTGCTTGGCCAAGGGCATGGGACAGTAGCCTGAACCTGAAAAGTCCCACAGAGGGATTGTGTCTCAGCTACTGATTGAGGTAGTTCAGGTTCCCTGTAGAGCCTGAAATCTCTACAGAGAAGCCTGGCTGGGAGTGTAAAACGTGGCAAAAAGGTCAGTGACTTTAAAATGGGAATGATTTCTGTCAAAGAGGAGCCACAGGTCAGATGACCAGGCTGAACAGAGAGAAAGCAGAAGGTCTGAAAGCAGAGGGTCTCTGCTAGATGGTAGCATGGACAAGACCTCAGGTGGACAAAATGGGTGAGATCCAACTTGGAGGGGGTGTACCAGACTAGAAGAGTGCAGTGAGCAGCTGATGTAGGAGCACTTGGGATTCATCAATTGGATCCATTCACAACAGGCTGGTGGGTGTCCACCCAGAGAGGAGGGCTGGGCAGCGGCACGGCAGTGGCATGGCAGCAACTGGCACTTCCGCATGCAGCGCAGCAGAGGTGAAACTCCCAGCACTTCCGCCACTGGCAGTTCCACTGCTGACTTGCCACCAGTGGATCCAATTTCAGTGGGGGCATGACCGCTCTCCGTGCCCCCCTACCTGCTAGAGTGCTCACTCAAGGGGGGCACCAGCACTATCAGGGGGGCACATGATCCCCCCATGACCCTGCTATGTGTCACCTATGCAAAAACCAGTGTCCTGTCCCAGGTTACCCTGCATATACTTGAGGTTTAGCTGATGGTCTCAGTGCATGTGAGACAGGCATGGCATTTGGCCCAAAAGAAGTGGTGAGGGGCATGTGGGGGTTAGAGACAGAGAAGATCTATCTGGACAGTCCTTGTCTACTCCACTCACTCTCTAGCCAGTACAAGGCCATTTTTAGCAGTAGAAACTGGTTTTTTATGCTAATTTCAATGGAAATAGAGCCATCCGTATCGTATCCTGAGACCAGCTGTTTGTAGCTGCACCAGTTTCTGTGTACGTGCCTTGCTCTGGGAGCTCCCGTACACCATGGCGCTGCTGAGATGTCTTCCAACATGAATGTTAAAGGAATTAGAGACAGGTCTTATGCAATGCTGTTTAATGTTTAATGTCATTATTAATAAAGTGATCATTAAAAATGGGCAGAATACTCAAGAAAGGTCATGATTAAGTTCATCCTCAGCCCTACTGGCACATCACCATTCCCTGCAGTCTATTCTCCAGAGCTTTCTCCACTTCAGTTTGAAATGACTCAAGTGAGGGGGTTGCCATTGCTTCCCTTGGGAGCCTTCTCTGAAGTCAGATAACTATTGCTTTTAAGAAATGGCCCCAGCCCTTCAGTCTCAGTTTCCCCCTAATTTTCACCCTTTACTTTTGAAATTATATCCCTGTGGATTACTCTGCGTAATTCCTCTCCCTCGTTAAAACTCCTGTGTTTCAGTTAGTGTGTCCCTCACGCCATTACCTTTTGCCTGGCCTCCACATGTTCAGTTTTTCTAAACTTTTATTTCGAGCTCCTTTCAGAACATGTTCTGCACACGTGCATGTGTGAGAAAAGACGGCACAAGTGCCCTGCTGTCATGAACCCACAGGTTACACTAGTTAAACTGTGTGTGTGTGTGCACACATGTGTCAAGGTAATTAATGTGCGTGGTGTCTGTTTGATAATCAGAGGCTGGTGCTTCCCTCCTGTCATTACTGGGACCTTCCAAGCTGTTTGTGTTTTTCAAGAGGAAGTGCCTCAAGTGTGTGCCACACTAATGAGACTCAGTCTGATGAGAAAGGATGGCTCCCTTCTGCCCCGGCTGGTGCTGGCTTCAGGAAATGTGAGACACTGTTCAGGAGAGACCCAGGCCTGCACAGCGGGATAGGGATGAGATGGTGTGGAAGAGTGATGTAGTAGCCTACTTGTAGAAGAGAAGTAGGTGTTTCAGGGCCAAGCTGAGGTTCATGTGCAGAGGTGCACTGAGCCCCCGTGTGGGAATAGCCAGGCTTTCCCTTGGTTCAAATCGAGGTGCACTGGGGAAACGGAGGTAGCACAAAACCAGGAGCTGAGGAGACTCGGAGACTCCGTCCCTAGGACACTGGCTGGCAAATTTCCTTTGTGTCTTCTCCAGGACTCTCACAGACTTGCTGAAGCAGCCAGGCCACAGCCCCTCCGACCACATGGCAGACGGCCACGTAGGCAGTGTCCAGCTCCAGCTTGGTGAGGGCCTCACGCGGGGATCCCCCAGGAATGGCACAGGTAAGAGCTCATCTCCGACCAGTCTGGAGACAGCGGAAGGCCTCCAGTCTCTTTCTACTTTTCCAAATGGGCTTGGGAGAAGGGCACGGTGTCATAAGCACAGCAGTCAGGGTCAGGGAGCGGCTCAGAGGCCTGGCAGTTCAGGACAGGTGTGGGAAGAGAGCATTTCAGAGCCAGGGCTTTGTTTCCTTTGTTTTGTGGTGGGTTTATTTAAAGTAGGGCATGAAGTGCTGCTCAAGGCCTTGGGGAGGGGCGGGGGGGGGGGGGGGGGGGA